CGCATCGCATCGCATCGCATCTCGTCAGCTGGCGCAAGCGCACGCAGGCGCCCCGCGCGCTCTACTCACGCTTGGCGTGCTGATCGCAAAGTGCCGAATCCCGCATGTCTGCCAGCTTGATGGTCCCCTTGGAACTAGAGTAGACGAAATGATTGCAATTGATGGGATGGAATTCTGCGGCGGTGATGACTTCTGTGAGTTCCTCCATGTTTACCGGCTTGATATCGACAATGTCTGCGGGGCGCGAGAGAGTGAGCGAGAGAGTGAGCGTGAGAGAGAGCGAGAGAGTGAGCGCCCGCGCCCGCACGCACTAAAGCTCTGATCGGAAATGTTGAGATTCCACAGATTGACGCGCAAATCGTCTGCTGAAATGTACGTCTCTCCATCCGAATTGACGCTGATGGAGTTGATGTGGTATGCGTGCGCATTGGCGTAGATTTTCCTCGGCACTGCAGCGACGATGGTATCGTGATGCGTCAATGTCGGCATCCTCAAGTTGGCCCCGCTGCCCACCAGAGGTGTGGGCGTTGGGGCGAGGGATGGGTGCAAGGATGATGAAGAGGTCGCTGCTGCATGCGCGCTCTGAAATCGATCGCCAGACAAGTTATTCTCTGCCACCACTTTTAAGCTCTTTTCGAATACTTTCCACAGCTTGATCGTCTTGTCTGTGGGCGTGAGCGTGAGCGTGAGCGTGAGCGTGAGCGTGTGAGCGCGGCGACGTGTGAGCAGATGAAACGTCACGCCGTGTGAGCAGACGAAACGTCATGCCGCCCCTCGCCCCCCCTCACCATTCGTGGATAGCAAAAAGTGGGCGGCATTTTGACGCCTGCACCACCGAATCTTGTTGATCTTTTCCTCAATCTCCAACGATTTGAGATAGTCGAATTCCGGCTCGTGAGATTGAAATTCGGTGTGGAATTTGTACTCGCAGCCCTTTTTCTGTCGTCGCAAGGGGGGGCACGCATTCAGTCGCGCGAGCGCAAAGCTGCCGCTCGCGACGCCCACTCACGGAATCGTTTCGCTCAAACAGCACCACTCTGCCGCCCTTGTCCCCGGTCGCGAGATAGTCGCCGGTATGATCAAACTCGACAGTCGAGATGATGTCGGCTGGTGGGCAGACGCGGGCGCGAGCGTGAGCGTGAGCGTGTGAGCAAGACGATCAGCGCGCACGCGCTCACCCTCTGTGATATCTTCCACCTCTCCCTTGTCACCAAAGCACTGGGCAAACTTCCAGGGAGCGGAAGCATCCTGTTGCGCCGTCGTTGCCCCTTCCATCTCGTTCTGTGTGTGTGTATGTGTGTGGTGTGTATGCGTGGTGTACCGCGGTGTACCGCAGCGAGAGTCGAATCGTATCGCCTCGCCTCGCCTCGCCTCGCGCGTCTCGTAGCGTGACCCCTCGCTTGTCTCGTATTGGCAAAGGGAAGCGATTAGCACGCACGCGAGCGTCTCTCGATGGATGCCAGCGATGCGAGCTGTGCGAAGAGCGCGAGCGCAGTGGATGCCGAGCGCAGTGAATTCGCTCGCGGGATGCTTTCGCAGGATGCTTTCGAAGGATGCTCTCGAGGGATGCTCTCGCTGGCGCGCAGGTGCAGGTCGTCGTTGTGATGGTTGTGACGACGACGACATGCTGCCATCCGTGATCGCCTGCACTCCTGCGTGCACTCATGCGTGCACCACTCTGTCGTCTCTGCTTTTGCGATGCGATGCGATGCGATGCGCTCCGTGCACTCACACTCGCACACCCACCCATGCAGCACCCACGCTGCTGCTCTCTGTCACCGCGCGCACCCACGCCCACGCCCACGCCCACGCTCGCATGCGGCAGGTCAAACCGCGCGCGGGGGCAATGGATCACTCACACGCGCACGCGCGCAATGTGCCCTGACGTACGTAGGCCCCTTGCGCGTGCCACACGATCACGTGATTATATCTCTCGCGCGAGACGAGCGCGCCCGCGCGGCGCGATTCTCCCTGGATTTTTTGCGAGTGCGTGCACGTCGACGACCATGCCCATGCATCATCCTATAGGGCCTACACTCCATCCATCACCCCACACCCAAGCATGACCGCATCAACGCCAATGCTTCCAGAGACGCCGCACGCCGGACCCTCTCAGGCGACGGTCGATGGAGCGCCTGCGACTCGTCGTCGAGTGCACATTTCAGGTCTATCCAGCACGCTATCCGACGAATTGCTCCTCTCCCGCTTCTCCACGCTGAGAGTGTGCGACTTTCATCGACCAGCAGCAACAACAACAACAACAACAACAACAACAACAACAACAACAGCAACGCACGCGCTTCCCGGACCCAAAGCTTGGCTCACGCTCATAGGTCCTGCAAAGGAGGTGGAGAGGAGCGCAAATTCCTTGCACGGTGCGCTCTGGAAGGGCGGCAAGATACGCGTAGGAACTGCAAAACCTGACGGTGCCCTCGCTCCACTACCTCGACCCGCCTCCACTTTGAGGCGCGAAGCAGCTCGGGCGGAAAAGAAGCAGGAAGCGCGCGAGAGGAGATATAAGCGACGTGCGAGGGAGGAAAAGGTGGATAGGGTGGTGGATTTGCAAAGCGTCAAGGATGGCCAACATTGGGTGAGCGTGAGCGTGTGAGCGTGCGTGCGCGGCACGTGTACCTTTTTGCTGACATTTGCGGCTTCCCTCTAGGGCTGGCACATTACCCCGGCATCCCACCTCATCCGCCCCATGCACATGCGTCCATCTCATCCCCTCCCTCCTCCAGCAGCGTCCATGTCCATGTCGAGCGGGCAGTCTAAACGCAGCAGCAGCAGCGCGGTCAAGCCTCTTGGCAGAGCGCGCAGACTGACCATCGACCCGCGCAGGTACTCGCGCACGCATCTAGCTGGCGATCTGCTGGACTTTGATGGCGGCGGCGGCGGCGGCAGCGGCGGCGGCGGCGGCGCGGCCGCATGGGTGTGGGATGAAGAGCATGGCGCGTGGAGGGATCAACATGGAAGGGTGGAAGTCGTCGCCGCGTCTACTCCTGCCGATCACGATGGCGACGACGACGATGATGATGATGACGACGACGACGACGACGACGACGACGACGACTCCATCTCAGATCACCTCGCAGACGATTCCATCTCAGATCAGCTCTTTGCGCCACAACGATCCGTTTCGCCATTGTTTGACGCGCCGCACGATTCCAACGACGCGTTCTCAGAAGGCTACGAAGAGGACGCGGGCGGCAGCGTGTTGGAGGAGGAGCATGATGAAGAGGCGCAGATGAAAAGGGTGCTTCGCGAGCTGTACGGCGAGGTCAAGCCCAGGCGAGAGGACGCGGGTGCGGGTGCGGGTGCAGCAGCAGCAGCGGAAGAGGAGAGCGACGATGAGGAAGCGTTGCGGAGGTTATTGTCTGCTGCGAGAGCAAAAGAAGAGCCTGAATGCGCGCCTCGATCCCGCTTAGACTATATAAAGCCAGAGAGCGGCGGCTCGAGCAGCGCGCATGCATTCACGCCAGTCGTCAGGTTCGATCCGGGCACCAGTGCGGCGCGTTGCGAGGGCAAGGACGCGCACGAGGACGCGCACGAGGACGCGCACGAGGACGCGCACGAGGACGCGCACGAGGACGCGCACGAGGGCGAGGACGCGCACGAGGATGCGCACTCGCGCTCGCACTCGCCGCCAGCGCTCCCGCCGGCACCGCAAACGGACGTGCAAAAGCTGACGGACATGTTTAAACCTCAAGAGGCGGGTGAGTGGGCGCCGCCGCGCGAGGAAAGAGGCCCCATGCACACACTGACACGCGTCGCCTCGCCTCGCCTCGCCTCGCCTCGCGTAATGTCGAGCAGCTCCAAGCTTTTCCTTGGATTTGGCAGAGGAGGATCTCGATTTGGACATGACATTCGATCATGGCGGCGACACAGACGGCGCGGACGATGTGGACTCGACACTCGTCGTCGCGAAACATACGCCTCGCGCCACCACCTCTTCGGACCTGTTTAATCCGGATCCGAATCTGCCCTTCTTCTTTGCAGTCTCCAAAAAGGCCTCTTCCGCTGCAAGAGCTCGCGATCCCCTTGTCCGGCTGACGACCCGTCTGAGCAGCAGCACGACTGCGTCGTCGATTCGCGAATTTGTGCGCCCGTCGTCGGAGAAGGAAGAGGAGGAGGAGAGGATAAAGAGGTGGGAAATGAGAAAGTCGGAGTTGACGCGCGAGTGGAAGAGGAGACATCGAGAGGCTGTCAAGAAGCGCAAGCGGGGTTACGAGGGGTCGCGCCGCAGAGCTGCCGCTGCGGTGTGAACCGAGCGCGAGCGCGAGCTAGTGTAATGCTGTTTGTTGCCCTCTCGCCAATGAAATGCTGTCTGTTTGTTGCCCCTCTCAACGCATGAGACGAATGTACCTGTGTGTGCGCGCGCGTGAGCGTTGTGAGTTCGAGTCGAGTCTCGTGCGCGGGCGCGCGGGCGCGCGGGCAGCCATCGTCCCTGGCGCAACTCACGCGAGCAGCAAGGCACCCGCACCGGTAGCCACACCAGTGAGCGTCTGCAAGACATTAAACTTGGCGCTCTGAATACCCGTTCGAAGCGTAGCGATTTCGCTCTCTATCCTCGTGTCCACTTCTTTGATCTTGAGCGCATGCACCGACGATTCGTCCCTGAGTCGGCCTGAGCGCGTGAGCGAGGGAAGCGTGAGCGCGCGTGAGCGAGAGTAATGCGTGGTCAGCGCACGCAACGTCAGCGCCGCGCTCGCTCGCTCGCTCGCCCGCCACCGCACTCACCCTTTTCGAGGGACAAGTCCAAACGTACACCGGCAGTGGTGCGCGTAATCTCTTCCCTAAGACGCTGCTTGAGCCTCTCCACTTCCGCCATCAACCTCTCATTCTCCCCCTTCATCAACGCGAATTCATTCCTCTCCAACAACTGAATGTCCGATTTCAAGCGTGCAAAGTCGACCTTGCGTGCGTGGGTGCGTGCGTGCGTGCGTGCGTGCGTGCGTGCGTGGGCATGCGTCAACCGTCCGCGTTCCATAGCGTCACGACATTCGAACACGCACGCGCGCGCGCGCGCGCGCGCCTCTCCTCACCTTTTGGCTGTACCTCCACCTCTCCGCCTCTTCCCTCCTTATCAATCCGCTCTCCAATCCCGTAATGCTCTCATCCACCGCATCCTTCAAAGCCACAACCAGCACATCGGCTTGTTGAGGCGATAGACCCGTAGCTTCCAATCGCGTAGTCAGCGCGTGCGTATCGAAGGCTGCGGCGTGCGCAGAGCTTGTGTTGCTGAATGCGCGCGCGAGGGCGAGAGGAGGAGGAGCACGCGCATACAAGCGCATCAAGGTTGCACCTCGCGGCATGTTTGCAAAGTAGAAACGGGGATGAGGTGGTGGTGGTGGGAGCGGAGAGCATGTGGTGGTGAGAGCGGAGAGCATGCGGTGGTGGGAGCGGAGAGCAAGAGTGATCGC